GGCCATTGCAGCCATCTGGGGAGCGAACCAGAGGATAGAAGACCTCTCTCTCTCTCTCTCTGTCTCTCCCTCTCTGTCTATAACTCTTCCTTTCAAATAAATAAATAAATGTTTAAAAAATAAATAAATAAAGTCACCATTCTCCTCTAGGGCCGCTCAGCTTTCTGCAGTCTCAGCCCATGGAGGTAGCACGTCTTAGGCTGAGGCCCTGCGACAGCCTGCATGAAGCCACATGATTGTTGGTTTCTGTTTTTGAGTGACACTTAGTCTAATTTAGTACTCCAAAAACCTTTAATTAGTTGAGCACAATCCCTGCCCATCAGACAATTCACAAGCCCAGGCCAGGGAATGTGGGCTCCCCACTTGAAATACCAATGAGGCTCAGTGAAGGATGTGATGCTGGCTTCTAGCCATGCCACTCCACACACACCCCACGGTCAGAATTCTCTGGGAGAGATTTCCTCTCGTTTCCATCCATTTTCTATTGTCTAAATGCTTCTCTGGGCACCAAAATGCTAGCCAAAAGCAGGGAGGTGGGATTAAATAGAGATTCCCCATGTATTGGCTGTGTCAACATAAGTGGATATGCAAAGGCCATAAGCCCCTCCCTCTTTTGAATCCACTTTTTATTTTGACTTAATTGTAGATTTGCATGCGGTTGTAATACAAAGAGATCTGATTCCCTTCTAGCATAAGCATAGCACAATTTCACAACCAGGAACGATTCACTAGTCTTATCCAGATTTCACCAGTTTTGCATGCAGTCGTGTGTGCGTGTGTGTGTGTGTGTGTGTGTGTAGTTCTGTGCATTTTTAGAGTCATGTGAACATTACTGTTGTCAAGATGCAGAGCAGCTCCTCCCTCCCTCTCCTCTCCACCCTTAACCACTAATCTGTCCTCCATCTCTATGATTTTGTCATTTCAAGAATGCACATAAATGGTGTGTGGTAGTATACAGCCCTGGGAGACTGGCCTTTTTCTTTCAGCACAATTCCCTTGAGATTCATTCAAATTGTTCAGTGTATCCTTTTTAATCCTGAGGCTGAATCAGATTCCATAATATGGATGTATCACTGTTTCTTTATCTATTCACCTTTTGTTTATCTATATTTGGGTTGTTTCCAGCTTGGGGCTGTTAGGCATTACGCTAATAGCTTTGAGCATTTGTGTGCAAGTTTGTGTGTGTGAACATACATTAAATTTTTTTTATTTATTTGAGAGGGAGAGAGAGTGAGGATACTCGCATCTACATACTCACTCCCCTAAATGCTTGCAATGACACCCAGGATTCTGAAGCTGGGAGCCAGGAACTCAAACCATGTCCCCCATGTGGGTGTCAAGGTCCCAATTACTTGAGCCCTCACTGCTGCCTCCCAGGACCTGCACTAGCAGTAAACTAGTATCAAGAGCTGGAGCCGGGGATGGAACCCAGGTACTCTAACATGGCATGCAGGCATCCAACCTCACACCCTAACCAGTAGGCCAAATGTTGGCCCCAAACTTAAATCTTTATTTTCTGAGATAATGCCCAAGAATGCAACTGTTGGGTCACATAGCGAGTGCACATTAGTTTTATGAGAATCTGTGATACTGTCTTCCAGAGCGGCTGTGCCATCTCCCAGTCCCATGAGCAATGGTCACGTTTCCAGTTCCTCGCCCGCGTTTGGTGTTATCGCTGTTCTTTAGTGCAGCCATCCTGGTGTTGTCTGAGTTTCCCCGTGGGCTGGTGGCGTTGAACATCTCTTCCTGTGCTTGTTGGCCCTCTGGGTGCCCTTGCTAAGGAAATGTCTGTCGTGTCTGGTTACCTGGGCTTTTTCACTGTTCAGTTTTGAGAGCTCTTTATAAGTGAGGGGTCTTCAAAAAGTCAGTGGAAAATGGAATTAAAAGGCAAGTTTATTTTGGTGCAAAAACTCAAAATTCTTGCTTAGCTTTTTTACTATACATTTCCATGAACTTTTTGAAAACTCCTCACATTCTATAAACAAATCCCTTTTCAAATGCATTGTTTGCAATTATTCTCTCCCCATAGGTGGTCTTTCCATTATTTTTCACAGGATCTTCTGAAGAGGAAACAGTTTTCAATGTTGATGTTGTCCAATTCATCATTCTCCTTTTCTCAGTCATGCTTTTGATGTCAAGTCCAAGACTTCTTTGCCTCATCCTAGACCCCAAAGATTTTTTCCTTTTTTAATTTTTTCTAAAAGCTTTAGAGTTTTTATTTTAAAATTTTAGGACTTTGATACATTTGAGTGGTTTTGTAAGATTTTAAAAAAGATTTAAGGCCGGCGCCGTGGCTCACTAGGCTAATCCTCCACCTAGCAGCGCCGGCGCACCGGGTTCTAGTCCTGGTCAGGGCGCCGGATTCTGTCCCGGTTGCCCCTCTTCCAGGCCAGCTCTCTGCTGTGGCCCGGGAGTGCAGTGGAGGATGGCCCAAGTGCTTGGGCCCTGCACCCGCATGGGAAACCAGGAGAAGCACCTGGCTCCTGCCTTCAGATCAGCGCAGTGCGCCAGCCGCAGCACGCCAGCTGTGGCGGCCATTGGAGGGTGAACCAACGGCAAAAAGGAAGACCTTTCTCTCTGTCTCTCTCTCTCACTATCCACTCTCCCTGTCAAAAAAAAAAAAAAAAAAAGATTTAAAAGGCAGAGTGACACACAGAGAGAGGGAGAAAGAGAGAGAGATCTTCCATCTGCTGGTTCACTTCCCAAATGGCCTCAACAGCCAGGGTTGAGTCAAGCTGAAGCCAAGAGTCAGGAAGCCCATCCACATCTCCCGTATGCATGGTAGGGATTCAAGTACCTGGGCCATCCTCTGCTGCCTTCCCAGGCACCTTAGTAGCTGAGACTCGGATTAGTGCTCCAATGCAGGCAGTGACTTAACCTGCCGTACCACAATGCCAATCCCTTGAATTGATTTTTATGTAGGGTGTGACAACTAAGTCAAGGTTATTATTATTTTGCTCATGGGTGTCCAATTGGGTGTCCAGCACATTTGAACACTCTCTTCTCTCCACTGAAAAGCAAGTTGGCAAAATTTACCATGAGCCGTTAGGAATTTCCCAAGTTTTTCTCCTGTCACTTCTGGGAACTGATCCTAAGAAAGTAATGTAGAAATATGGGGGTGAAGGTGAGCTATAAAGAGAGAAAGTGTTTGCTACATCATTTTGTATATAACTGGAAGTACTCTAAATACCCAGCAGTAGGGGACTGGTTCCATAGTGCACACATGAAGTAATATGCAACAAGTAAAATATATTTATGTAATAGCTTTCACTTATTCAACAGATATTGGTATTCATACATGTTCATCTGATGATGGCATGTGAGCAAATTAGGCGTCATCCCTGTCTCGCAAAGCTCTCGGTCCAGAAGGGAGAATAAAGACAACAGCTCCAGCACTTAGAAGCACCTTTTTTTTTTTTTTAAGATTTTATTTATTGGGGCTGGCGCTATGGCACAGCAGGTAAAGCCACCGCCTACAGTGCCAGCATCCCATATGGGCGCCTCCAGCCCTCTGCTATGGCCTGGGAAAGCAGTAGAAGATGGCCCGAGTCTTTGGGCCCCTGGACCCATGTGGGAGACCAGGAAGAAGCTCCTGGCTCCTGGCTTCAGATTGGCACAGCTCTGGCTGTTGCGGCCAATTGGGGAGTGAACTAGTGGATGGAAGACCTCTCTCCCTCTCTCTAGCTCTTGCTTTTGCTCTCACTCTCTTTCTCTCTGCCTCTCTTTCTCTCTCTGTGTAACTGTGACTTTCAAGTAAAATAAATAAATCCTTTTAAAAATATATTTATTTATTTGAGAGGCAAAGTTATAGACAGAAAGGGAGAGACAGAGAAAGGTCTCTATCCTCTCTTCATTCCCCAGATGGCTGCAAGGCCAGAGTTGGGCTGATCTGATCCGAAGCCAGGAGCCAGGAGCTTCTTCCAGGTCTCCCACACAGCTGCAGGGGCCCAAGGACTAGGGACATCTTCTTCTGCTTTCCCAGGCCATAGCAGAGAGCTGGATAGGAAGTGGAGCAGCCGGGACTCGAACTGGTGCCCATATGGGATGCAGGTGCCTCAGGCAGAGGCTTAGCCTACTACGCCACAGCACTGGCCCCAGAAGCACACAAGGAAAAAACAGGAAATAAAATGGCCAATGCACAAGGATACTGGAACTGTGAAAATATGTGCATGTGGAAAAAAAAGCATCCTTCTTTTAGGGTGATTGGGTCAACGATGGGCGCCCCCCAACCCTCAGTTTTCCATACTGCCCATAGTAGTTTCTTTTTTTATAAGAATAACCACAACAAAGGGCAAAGCTTCCATTGCAAAAGAACTCCTTGCCAGGGAAAGGCTGAGAGTGACCATTTGCAGAGGCAAGAGGTACACGTACTACAAACCAAAGAGCACCAGAAGCAGACAGGTGTCCAGTGCTCAGCTAAGTCGCGTTGGATTATTCAGTCACTCAGCAGGTATCAATAGAGAGTCCACAAGGTCGCCGCATCACATGAGTCACTCCAAGCATGCGTTTAAGAATAGACAGTCCTTGGCCTCTCCCAGCACTTACCAGAAGCCCTGATCTCAGTCTTACGTCTGCCGGTTCAGTACTTCACAGGGTACCACGTGAGATCTGAACATCCCCTGCGTGGGATCCTCTCAACAAGCCTTGAAAGTGGTTAGGGAGGGTGTCATTATCCCCATCAGTTAGACACCAAGGCTCAGAGAGCTTCAGCAACTTGCCCAAGGTCACACAGATAATGAGTGGCAGGCCCAGAGCTTGGACCTGGCCTTCTCTCGCTAAGGCCAGTGCTGTCCTCAGAACACCACAGTTGCCTCAAGAACAGCTGTGATAACAGCAGGCTCAGTGCAGGTGAGTAATCAGCAGAGTCGGCGCTAGAATGTAAACCATGTGGATGAGAACACAGGCGCTGCTCTCCCCTGCTGTGGTTGGGGCTGGGGGGTCCATGCAGTGAGAAGAATGTGATTCCAGCACCTGGGCTCACCTCTGCTCCCTCTCCCCAGATGGTGAAGGCAATCCAGGTCCTGAGAATCCACCTGCTGGAGTTGGAGAAAGTCAATGAACTCTGCAAGGACTTTTGTAACCGTTACATCACCTGCCTCAAAACCAAGATGCACAGTGATAACCTGCTCAGGAATGACCTCGGGGGACCCTACTCCCCCAACCAGCCCTCCATAAACCTTCACTCACAGGTAACACACGTGGCTGGGGCCCATCTCTTAATCCAGGCTCCTAAGCCATGACTAAGGTTCCTTTGGTGACCCGGGACAAGGAACTGGATCCTGCGCCATGAGGACCCTCCTCTGATCCCCTCCTTACACCCAGCAGACAGCACAGGCCCCTACTCATACAACCTATTGCCCAGAAAATGGCCAGACCATGACAGGGGCCACGTCCAAGGTAATTCCTGGCTTACTGACCCAAGATATCCCAAGGAATGAGCCTTAGAGGAAAGGAGACAGGACACTTTCCTAGAGGATGAGCTGGGGATGCACGCAGACCTCCTGGCTGCACAGGCTTCTCCAGGGCTTGGGAGCACTCTGCGCCTCTGGGAAGGAGACTGGGGCAAGAGCTCATTCCCCGAATCCTGTCCACCTCATGTGAACTCAGCTTCCAAGGGGTGATTCCTCTCTACTTGCTCAGCCTACCCTGGCACCTCTGTCCCCTATGGGTCAGGGCCACCATCAATGTCACCTCAATCTACCCACCTCCAAGATGCACCTGCCACCTTCATGCTAGGAACTGGGAGGTGTGGAAGGGATGCCTTTGTGCTTTGGGCAAGAAGGAGTTATTCTCTGCAGGGTCAAAGGCTTCCCCCAGACCTACAAACTAAGAGAGCTGCCTGGTGATACCTTTCCACCATACTAGCTGGCATCTCTGTAAGCCACGGACTTTCCTCTCTCCCTGAGTCCCTGAATCCAGGGCAGGTGTATGGAGGGCACCCTGGAGGCTCACCAGAGCCCTTCCCATTAGATAATCAGGCCTGGGGATGTGGGTAAACTCCCCAAGAATGAATGGAAACAAGTGCTGGCAAGAATGCCTAAGCAAGGCTGTGACCAACATGCAAGCTGTTTCCCTCCAGGTTGGTAGAGGCAGGGGGAGAGACGGGATGACCCCAGGAAGGTCAGCCTTGCCTTGCCGTCACAACAACAGACATCCACGCTACACTCAGTGTCCCATCAAACGCATCCCAGTGAAATCGCTGTGGACTTGATGGCGAGAATTGCCTAGGACACAGGCAGGAAGTTTATTTCCTCTTCCTGTTGCTTGAAAATCACCAAATCACTTTATTGCAGATCTAAAAACAGCAGCCCGGGCTTCTGCTTGCTAATATTCTCTTGAAATAGACTCATTCCTTCAGAGTCTTATTGTACTTTCCCTTATGATCAAAATTAGCAAGAAACTTGCATAAAAGAGGACAATAATTGCTCAACGAGCATCTCGTTTGTAATTTATTAGTTTCTATTATTGTGGGTTACCATGGCGATGGTGCGCAGCCCCAGTGATGGGAGAGATGTGCGATAGGAGCTGAGGAGGCTGTGAGGCCTCACCGAATGGAGATGCACATTTTTATCAGTAATTTTCATGAAAATAATAAGTGAGGAGTTAATGAGATGGAAAGCCATCCTGTGGCTATTGTGAATTTTTTTTAAGTGTTGATCTAATTAGAATGCATCGGTCAGGAAAAGTAATGAGGATTTAGTGCCTCACAGAGATGTGAGGATCATATCAGAAAATTAGCACAAGTCTTTGGAAATAATCAGGTCCTTGGAGAGGAGCTGGGTCTCCCCTCGTGGGCCCTCCAACTCTGCCGCGAGCTCTGGGCTTGGGGGTGAGCCTGGGCAGTGGTGGAGGGAAGTGGGGTCGGTCTAGTAGCCCCCGCGGCCCCCTCAGGGTTGGGGTCCGAGGCTGACAGGCTGCAGGGAGCAGGCTGGTGGAGGCACGGGGTCTGCAGAGAAGGCTACTTGGGCTCTGGGTGGTCCAGGTCTGGGGATGCTGCCTGCCACCGCCACCCCTCCTGGGGAAGCTGGGCTTCCGCTCTCTCCGAGCCCCTGAGCTGTGAGCATGGGAGGGAAGGGCTTTGATTCCAATCACTGGGAGCAGCAGATCTCTGCCTGAAGGCGAGGCTGGCCCTGGGGCAGCCCCTGCAGAAAGGCTTCTGATCTGCTGGGAACCAGGAGCTCAGACAATTGGGCAACAACAAAGACCGGGAGAGAGGGAGGAAAAGACAAACCAGGGAGGCATTCTTCCTCCGTATCACTCCAACTTGTCCTCCCGGCTCCCCTGACCGCCACCGCCTGCTTGGCTCAGGCTCTGCTGGGTGAATAGGGAGTTGCAGAACAGCAGGCCCTGGGGGCCTCTCTGCCCGACCCTCACCCTGGTGCCTACCCACGGGAGCTCCTGCTGCCAGATTCGTCTTCCTGAAGCTGTGCCCCTGTCCAGCTCACAAACCCGTTGCTCCAGTACCTTTCATTCTCATGCACCTGACGTGCAAGGTCTCCTGGGTCTGGCCTCAGCCTCCCCTCCTGGGCCAGTCAGTCTGCGGGAAGTACTGAGGCTGTTCTTTCCTACCTGTGTGCTGAGGAGACACCGCCCACCCCACCATCGCCACCTCCCTGCAGGACCACAGCCAGCCTCCTGCCCTCGGGCAGGAACAGGCCACTGGCCCACGGAGACCTCCCTGCTTCCCCATAATAGTGGACCGCGCATGTCCACTCTGAGCCTCAAAGATGGCAAATGTCATGTGGGTTTTACAGCATGGACTCTCCTTCCCAGATAAACTTTTCTGGAGTTGAGACCGTATTTTCTATATTTGAAATCACCAAATCACCCAATTATGGATCTAAAAACAGCTGTCCGGGCATCCACTTGCTCAACTTCTCTTGAAATAGGCTTGTTCCTTCAGAGTCTTTTGAAACTTCCCTTAGGAGGCCAGCAGTGGCTACCACAGGTCTTGTGTGTGATGGATGTTGGCCAGTGAGTATTTACTGAAAGAAACAAAGTAACCGGAGTGGGGGAGGGGGAGGAGAAGGAGAACTAGAGAGAGAGACATGCCCTGTGCTGCTCCCCTCCCCGTTCTCAGGCCCGGCTCCCATCACAAAGTTAGGGTAGGGGCTTGCACTGGCTCTTCGAGGAAGGAGGGACCCACAGCTGCCACGGATCCAGGGCCATGCAGGAGGCAGGTCTCGGGTCCAGGGCACAGGAGCCTGTATGGGAAGGAGAGAAAAACCGAGTGAGGGGCGAGCATGGGGGTTGGGGGGGGGGGTGTGCGGGTGTGTGCACACACGCATTTGTCATGGTTCGACCTTAATCCTCCCGGCCTGAAATAGCCACCCTGAGCACCAGCCTGGCCCGGGGTGGGAGGGTGTATGCCCCCCCCCCCCCCAGCAGAACATGATCCTCCGGATCAACATTCCGGCTGCCTGCCAGCTTTGTTGCAAACTGCTGGCTCATGGCTTTCCCTATGCACTAATCATCCAGACTTGGGTTGCAAAGTGGGGGACATTTTTGTTTTCCAATTGGTGCCCCCCCTCCCAGACACCATGCTGCGCCCTTCATCCAGCTCTGCAGGCTTGGGTGTTCCCTGTTTGGCCTCGCTTGCTATCTATGGGTGGAAGGCAGGTGGAAAGTAAGGGAGATGGCTTCTACCAAACTAAAGCAAGGCTCCAAGACTTGGGCAACAGCCCATTCTTTCCACCTCCCTAGGAAGCCGTCAGGTGCTGCCCACACCCAGTAACACCCAGGCCGCGTACAGGGGCAGCATCCTCAGAAGGGAAACTGTCTGACCTCCAGCTCTGGATTCTCCTGTACTTCCTTTGAGGGCACCAACCCAACCATCCAGTAGAGAGAAGCTAACTCCCATGGTGTGTAGGCATGAATCTGACCTGAAATTCAACCCTCTTTCTCCATGGGGATTGAAACCTCAGCTCTACTGCAGGCATAGTGGCTTAGCAATGGTTCTCATGCAGTCGCCAAGCACGTGAGGGGACAGGCATGGTATGCACTGTGCTAGGGAAGTTCTAGACAGCTGTGTCAGCCATGGAATGATCAGGGCCAAGACTACTGAGTAAAGGCAGGGAAGGAACAGCCAAAGTGACGAGGACAGGAGCCGTAGGAAGGGGTTCTGGATTGAGCACATCGCGTGTGTGGCTTGAGGTTGCCCCAGTCACCACTCAGCATCCTTACTCCTCCCCTAGGGAGAGGTCAGGCCCCAGGCCCAGCCTGCATGCCTTCATGTATAGATCTGTTCCTCCCCCCCAGGGTTGGGGTGAACAAACCTCATGGTGGATCAGAAAAGCCAGCAAGAGGGGTTTGTCCATTGTGATTGGACAGGCTGCAAAGTCTCCGGCTTGGGAGGGCTTCCTGGGGGTGGAGGCGTTTCAGGCAGGCATGGGGAGAGTTAGAAGCCAACTTGGCAGCTCGAAAGCTAAGCGTTCCCAGTGTAGGAAGCCGTCTGGGAGAAGGTGAGGAACAGAGATAGGGAGACTCTCAGAATCCCTCGAGAGGGGGAGACAGGTGGAGGTGGGCAGTTCTTCAGTCCTTGGAGCACCTGTTGAGCCTGCTGAGTTCCAACGATACAGATGCAGAGGTGACATAGTCCCTGTCCTCAAAATGACATTACAAAGTATCTTGCAGCCATAAGTTGGTAACAGTGACCAATTGTGAAAGATTTTAATGATGGTGGGGAAAGTAGCCAGAGATGAGGGCTGGAGACGTGCTTGGCTCCCTAGCACATTGGGTCAATGTGCCCACTGACGTACTCTTGGCTTCCAAGCACATTGGGCCAATGTGCCCATTGACCCAAATGGCAGCCCGGGTCTGCCAGGGGCCAGCCATCCCATGGGCTTGACCAGGGAGTTCTGAGGTCAGCCCGGTGCAGGGGGCTACTCTGTTTGCCCCATTTTGTGTTGCTCGGAGAACTGGCAGAGAAGGGGAGACCGTGGACTGAGCTCCCCTGCGTGTCCAACACTGAGCGTGCCCCAGGCTTTACCTGTGCAATCTGATGGATTCCTTGCAATGAGGCCACAAGGTGAGCCTTATGATATTTCACACCCAAGGCAAGAGACGCTGGGAGAAGCGAGGACACTGGCACAGTCTGGGGCAGGTTGCTCCAGCGACTCCCATCTTCTAGCTGGCTGGTGACACACGAGAAAGGGAACAGGGGTCCCCTGGTGGGAAAAGAAGGCCCTAC